AGCTCTGGCCGCTTAATGTTGAAAGTCTTGTCAAGAATCCAGAGGATCTTGCATTCCTCCAGTCAATGAAAGAGGATAGAGCTGCTAGTTTTGTTGCATTTAACAAGGTACTTGCCCAGAAGATAGCCAGGCGCCATGATCACGATGTTGCAGCAGCAAAGCGTCTGAAGTATGCTTGTGATGAATTGAAACATTAAAACTGCCTGTATCATCAGAAGTTTTGACTGAATCAGACAGCAATGCTGACGAATCAGAAGAGTCTGCCTATGAAGATATGGATTTGGAAGCTGACTCTGAATCAACAGATAAAGCACCAGCTAAAAGAAAACCAACAGGAACAATGGCTTTTATACCTCCAAACTTGCTAAGCCGAACAAATCTAGTGTCATTGGCAACAAGACTTAAAATGACACCAACACAGCAAGCTGCAATCACCCAGGGATTGATATCTAAATCTGGTAGTGATGTTTCAATGGTTGCTTCTTCTTATGCCACTGCCGATTGTGCGAGGCACAAGGTCGTAGGTGAGATAGCGACAACAATTCAAAATACCTGGCAGCCACCCAAACTCCTCACTCTGCATTGGAATGGAAAGTTGACTCCTGCTCTCAACAATCCACGTATCACTGAAAAGCGTATGACAGTGATAGTAGGTGATGCATCACAGCTGAAGCTGCTTGAAGTTCCAAGTTATTTCAAGGCAACGGACATGTCGGTCGGAGAAATAATTGCTCAGTTGACAGCAAAGCTGCTGAAGGACTGGCGTTGTATTGATCAAGTTGTGAATGTGATATTTGATACAACAAGTTCAAACACTGGCCATCTGACTGCAGCTTGCATTGCCATACAAGATAAACTACAGCATGCTCTCCTATGGTCAGGTTGTCATCATCATGTTGGTGAAGTCCTGCTCTCTCACGTTTTTACTGACTTGAAAATAGAAGCATCCAAATCACTAGATATCAGACTTTTCACAAGGTTGCGAAGCAATTGGGATCTGATACCACATAGTTCAACTCTAAATTGACTAAAATTGAAGATTGAGATGATTGAACATGCTGCTAAAGATGTTGAATTTCTGCTTGTTGATTCGTGGTTAACAATTAATCGGCTTCAGCTGGACACCAGCTTCTTGAAAATTCCTGTCAGTGACTGGAGCAAGTCTGATGCTTACATTTCCAGTGACACAAATGTTGCAGCTGTAAATGTTGTTAATGATTGTGCCAAGAGAAGTGTCAAATTAGCATCAGACTTTGTCATAACTGCCAGATTCAATGAACACTTTCAAAATATTCTTCGAGTTGTCCAAAAAGATTGTAGAGATGCTCCAAATCTGCGCCGGAAACGCTGCAACAATGAAGTACTGTGATTATATAAGATGAATGGTGCTTAAGCAAAGATAATAAGCATCAAACTATTCTATGAACTAACAGTACAATTTAGATTCTTTCCAAATTTGAAATAATTTTTTTTATAAAATATATAGTAAAATTTGCACGTTTTCATAAGAATTGAGAAACTCTTTAATTACATTTTTATTATTATTGTAATTTTTGTTTCATTTATCAATTTAAAAGACATCATTGCCATAGTTATAGCATTAAAAACAATGAAACATTTATATTGACAAAAAAATATGCTAGAATAAAGCTAGAAAATGAATTTTAATGATCATTTTTGTATCGCGATTCCACAAATTTTGTTTTTTTCTCGTTGGGACCTCTAAACATTGTTTGATTTTAAAAATCATTCACCCATATTATCTGTTAGCATAATGGAACACAATGGAAACACAGACAACTCAAAAGTAAACACTTAATTTTTTTAAAATATTGTTGTTCACTTCCTTAAGGCCATGGGAGTCATTACAGTTGAGAAAGGTTTTTTTTTTTTAACTAATGTAATTACAACCCTCTCTCAACACTTCAACTCCAAACAAGGCTGTTGCGTGGAGAAACTAGTTAAGAGTAGTACGACCAGGGACATGGTGTGGATTAAACACAGAACTTCTTGCTCTACCATTATAGCGAAGTGTATTCTTTGCTCAGTGTTTTTTCTTATCTATATCAATAATTTTTATGTATAGTATAGCTCTATATGCTATAAACACAACTGTATGCTCCACTTTTATAATTAAGCTATTAGTTTAGAATCTCTTAGAACTAGTAGACAATCTTGAATGTAATGTTCTTACTCCTGATTCTATTATCTGTTTTTTTTTTATCTTGGATGGTTCTTCTAATGCTATCTTTATCTCTAAAACCAAGTCAAAAAACACATTGTTAATTTAGTTAGATAAACTCTAGCTGCCAAGCTTCAGCATATGTCCTGTTGCCATAAACTTTATTCTCTCACTCAATTTGTTTTCATGACCAGTGGCCTTGTTCATCAAGGTTCATGTTTCGGAGTTACAGAGTTGAGAGAGGGTTGTAACCACAACTAAAGTAGCCTCCTTGACTGTAATAGCCTTTCAACCTTAAGGAGGTGAACTAAAATTAAAAAATAAAAATCCAGTTTTCTCAAAATCACATTTCAAATTACCTAGCATTTTGTGGTGCTATAATAAAGTTTATTTTATAAAAATTTAAAATAAAATTAATTGATTACTTTTAACAATTCAATATAAAATGTAGTATTAACAAACTTAAAATATATATATAGTAAACAAAAAATATAAAAATAAGATCTATATAAAAATAAAATAAGTTGTATTCTGGAAGGAATCAGAAATAAAAGAGAAGTCCTCAACGTTATCTTCATCAGATTCAAAGTAAAACATTTTTTGGTTTCACAAAAAGCTTTGATCATAATTGGTTTTAAACTTGTTTCACCTCAGCATGATAATTTACTGCATATAGATTTTAAAACGTTATGGCAACAGAGCATTCTCAAAGCTTCATTAGAACAAAATCTTCTTCGTAAGACCTTACCTTTCTGCATACACTTAACACTGAGTCCTCCACTTGAAATCCCTGTATTTATAATTGTTTGTTTTGATGCCCAGTCTGGCCATAACTCTGCAAGTATATTCACAAAACCTTTCTTGTTGATCATCATGAAGTAAGAAAAAAGTGATTTCTGTATTCAGAGTGCCATTTCTAATTGATTTGGTCAAGGAGCTGGGTAACACAAGTTGTTTCAGGTGGAGTAATGAATATTTTTGTATATAAGTCCCATATTTTTGTTTCTTAGAATTATCAATACATCACAATCGAATCTTGAATGACCATCAAATAGGACAAAATGCTGTTTTAAATTATTTTTTCTAAACAGTGGTCGAATATTTGACACACTTAGAAGTATATTGTATCTTGGCTGTCAATGTGATTTTTGAAATTAGGATACTTGGAATTTAATGCTTTAACTGCTTCTTTTGGAGCCAATCAGGCACAAATCCCCTTTTCATTAAATATGCAGCACATTGCTTTATCCTCTCAAAAAGAAACAAAAGGATGCATATTTACTTATTTTCTATTATCATCTTTTGATAACTTTTCCTTCTCCCATTACTAAACTTTTTAGAGTACTATAAAAACCATAGTTTAGAAAGGAGGAGGTCATGTTGATTGTAAAGTTTAGTAGTATCTCCCTGCCAAACACCTGTTTCTAATTGATTTACATCAATAAAAATATTGTTTTTTATAAGTTCTTCAGCTAACTCATTAAGATAGTTACACACCTTTTTTTTTGTGCAGTAATTTATAGATGCAGTACCCATCCAAATTCAAAGATACAATGTCCTGTTTCTTTTTTGTAATGTATTTTTAATATTTTGCATCCCAATGCTTCCAAAAAGACTTAATAAGCTTCTTTGTTTCGAATGCCTGTTTGCACTTAGTGACGGCTTAGTGATCTGACATCCACATTGGTTTCTACAGATTTGCTTTTTTACTACAAAAACATTCAACATTGTCTTAGTCAACTCTGATTTGTTTAAACCATGAATGCATCTAAAGAAACTATTATTTTACAAAATCAAAAAGCTAAACACTACAAGTTTTGTACTGTAGTCATTTAAAGTTATTTGTTAAATGTTCTTAGATCTTTAAATAGTAGAAATATTACTGAAATGATAGAGGCCCAACCACATTTATTTGCTGAATCGAAACTACTCACTGATTCAACGTCACTGCTTATTTTTTATCTCTATGACATCTCTTAGAACATTGCATCTTGATTAGTTAGTTGTTAATATTAAAAGACTTTTCCATTTCTTAATTATTCACAACTCCAAATGAATATCAAAACACACTTTTGTACTCGCGCTTTATTTTAGTATACATTTTAATTTTCAAAACAAAACTAAAAAATTTAATTTTGAAACAAAGAAAACAGACTAAGTATGTTTCAATGCAAACAAAGAAAACAGATTAAAGTATGTTTCACAGCAAACTAAGAAAACAAACTAAAGTATGTTTCAAAGCAAACAAAGAAAACAAACCAAAGTATGTTTCAAATGAGGTTTTAAAGTAGACCTATGCAGAAGTATACTGTAGGCAAAATATTCATTTAATAACATTGAGAAAAAAACGGTAAGTGTAACCAAACATTTAAAAATATGCTCAGCAGGGAAAATAATGCTTTTATGCAGAAATTTATGGTTTCCTAACTAAAAATGGAAGCAATACAACCTATTATTTAACCTGCCATTCTATTAAAAAAAGTATACCCTAAATATTCATCTAAAGACATGAAAATGGTAACCCAAAAAAATTTAACCTTTTTGTCATTCTAACAGAAATATTTTTTCAAAAAAGTAAAAAGTGTTAATCTAGTAAAAACTAAGTGGCTGCCCAAATATTTTGTCTTAACCAGGATCTTAAAAAACACCTAGCATTCTGAAGTCCTTTTGCTTGTACAAATAGATATCAATATCTACCTTATCCTTCAACAATTAATTCTTGAGTATAACTAACTATATAAATTCTGGAAACCTTTAATATTTGTAAAAAATAAGTTTATAAAAATATAAAATATTTTGAATATGCACCAGTACTTACCAGATTTAGGTTGACCAAAAGGAATGCTGGTTGCACTAACTAAACAAAAAAAATTTTTTAAATAATTTCAGAGACAAAAAAAAAATATAGAGAAGAAAATAACAAACATAAAAATTCCAAGTTAGTAATGAAGTATAATTTTTAGAACTAATAAATAAATTTTAGTAAAAATTAGAAAAAAAAAAATTTTAATAGCACTGCAAACTATGTTCTTGCATACAAAAATTGTAAAATTGAATTTTCAAAAAACCTTAAATTTTTACCACAGCTAAAGAGTCTCCTTTGATCCCCACCACATCCCTGGAAGTACCGCACTCAACTTGTTTCTCTGCGCAGTGGCTTTGTTCATCAAGGTTGGTGTTTTGGAGTTATAGAGTTAAGAGATGGTTATAACCACAATAATATAGCCTCCTCATCTGTAGTGGCCTTCTTGGCCTTGAGGAGGTGAAAACAAACAAAAATTATAAAAATAAAAAAATGTATGAATGCTTTAACTATATAATATATACTTAGATTTTGTTTCTAAATGTTGTTCCTAAAAGAATTCTTCAATATTATAGGGTTAAGAAAAATACACTTTGTTTTTTGTATTTGTATTCTAAGTATCATGTTTAATAAACTCATTAAAGGAAGAGCTTTTTAAGTATTTTGAAAAAAATCTAAACATATTTTTTAATGTTTAGTTCTAATCAATTGCTAAGATGATTATTTGCGAGATTTTCAGAAATCTTTTCATTATTTTTAATTATTTTGTTTTAAGATTTCAAGCAAAAAACTTTAACTTTTCAATTAAATTTTTCTCACAATATGGCAATTTACTGTACAATATTTAATTTTGTTAAATTTTTTATGTTTTTGTTTTTGTAAATTAAAAGTATTAATAATATGGTAATATGTGAAACAATACAGAAATAAGCCTTTGGTTTAACAGTTTTAGAAAATATATCAACTAATAGAAACAATAATTTAAATTAATATAAATATTTCATTTTTTATTTTCACTAATCGACTTTGCTTTATTAAAATTAAAATATTAAAAACTTTGTGAATATAATCTCAAAATTTATTGTATTAAAGCCTTGGCTATTTTTCTATATTTATCTATCTCACAAATAATAAATTATTATATTTCTCATAAACAATAAAAAAAGCAAAAAAATACAACTAATAAACAAAACTTATTATAACAAATAAAAGAATAATAAGACATAATTCGAATGCTTTTTCAATACTGTTGTGAAGAGAGATATTAAAAAAGACACATGTTCTAATTATCAATTTGTTGCCACAATATGCAAGCAGCATCGATGGAAACTCCTCATACAGAAGCTGTCAATAATAACTTATATGATAAGATCAATTGATGGGTCATGGAAAAATACATGGGATGATTTTTCTAATACAAGTAGATAAATGTGTTGATGAATAAATAAAATTTATTCATCAACAGCCAACATAATGACAATACTATGAACCAGCCCACAAAATGACAATAGAATTCCATAAAATACTATGAACCAATACTATGAACCAATACTATGAACCAATACTATGAACCAGCCCACAAAATGACAATAGAATTCCATAAAAGGATGATTAGGAGATAAATAAAGGGACAAAATCAAACCAGGAGTAAAAATATAGCAAGCACAATAAAGAGAGGAGATAATTCAATTTATTGGTTTTCATAATAGGGCAGTAGTGAAAGATAATCTAAAAGATCAAAGTTTCGCCTTTGTTTCAAATTTTTTTAAACTTTTGATTCAGTAAGAATGTTGATACTTAACAGTATACAATTATTAAGACTATTAAAACAATATTACTATTAAACATCTAAGTTTTTTTTGGAGTAAGATTTACTAGTCACTGAAAGCCCTAAGCTTGAAAGCTGTTTCCAGGAAAGGTTTTTGTCTACAAGAAGTTTTTTAATTTTTTCCCTTTTTAGTATTTTTAGTATCAATAAAGAAGTCAGGAATCATAAAAAGTCTCTAAAAATTTTGTTTTACCAATATCAAGCGACAATCTGTTTTTCTTAAACCAATCAGATTTTTTTTAATTGAAATTATCAAGTATATTTATGTTTTCATGAGATTGGAATAGGTTTGTGTCATCAGCAAAAATTAAGTTAGAGGCTTTGTTAAGGTCATTTATATATATTAAAAAAAATAGGGGCCCAACTATGGATCCCTGTGGGACAACACATTCATTAATAACAGCAATGAAGTATCTTGAATACTAATGCACTGCTTACAATTACTTGGAATCAGCTTAGGGATTTATCTCTAATGCCATTTGTCTCTAATGTTCTTAGATTTGGAATCAGCTTAGGGATTTATCTCTAATGCCATTTATCTCTAATGTTCTGGTTTTTGTAATAATTTAATTTAATTTAAGAAAATAATTTTTGTAATTTGTTAAACATCTAAATCATCCCCTGTTGCATTTGTAAAACATACTTTCGACTTGAACTCTTTTACAGCAAGACAAGTGAAAAATAATTTTTCAACAAAAGGAGTGCTTTAAATGTGTAACAATGGATTATACTGCTTCTTTGTGATGACAGGAAGAGCATAGTTATTAGATTTAGGAGATGAATCAAGGAAAAAGTTCTACGTAAACAGTTCTGTTTTATCCTTGGGAAAAGTAATAAGATAAAGCCATCTATGAGAGAATGTTAGACTTTTTAACCATAATTTCAAATATTTTCCTGTCTTTATTTACAATCAATATTTTCAATTATTTATAAGTCTCAGAAACTTAAACGTCTTGAACTCCATTAATTGATATAGAAATTTTGTGTCATGCTACAAAAAAATGCACTTTTATTGGTATTTGAGGGTTTTAACAGGAGATGATAAATTACAGTTCAAAAGCACTGAAACCCCAAAATCTCATTTTGATAATAATTTTGGATTAGTTTTTATTTTATTTGATATTTATTTTACAACTTTAATTGTAAATTTTTTATTAATTTTTGGTATAATAATAATACCAACAGTCTATTGTTGGTATTTTTATTAGTAATACTATGCCATAGATTTCATTTTAATTTTTAGTCATTTTATATATATTTTTCAGAATATTAGGAAGGATTTATATTGAAATGCATTTTACGTTTAAATCATTTTTGTTTTACCTTCAGTAATGTTAGGATGGATTGAGAATTTCTTGTGCCTTACTTGTGTTTGTGTTTTGGAGTTATAAGGTTGAGAAAGGGTTGTAACCACAATTATAGTAGCCTCTTGACTGTAGTGGCCTTCTCAGCTTTAGGGAGCTTGAATTAACATTTAAAATAAAATTAAACTGTATAAATATGAATAAAAGAAATGTTTAAAAACGATTTTTCCTTATTTGTATTAAACAACCACTTTTCATTAAAACCTTTAAGTATATATTATTATTAGTACATATTGCAAAATAATTTTAAACCAACCATTTTGTAGAACTAAGTACAATCGAATTTGTATTGTCTGTAGAAATAAACGAACCTTAAAAATACTAATCTATGTTTTAAAGTTAATTAAAAAAACATCATTCTTTCTATGAAAAAACATGTTTAAATCACTATATAAAAACTTTTGATAAACATTTTTTAACAATTCTTGATATATATAAAAACATTTTTCTACTTTTTCTTATCTTTTCACTTTTATCACCGGATATTTGGTTATATAGTTACTACCTCTTGAAGATAATAATGGAAATAGTTGTATAAAAAACATGAAGACCATATTAACATTATTTGAAATGTAAATGTCAATATAACTGAAATTTATTACTGGATAAGAAAATGAAAATAGATATCTCTGTCTAATGGTTGTATAGGATAAATGGGATGGCAAAAAAATTTTAAAACAGTGTAAGTGTTTCCTAAATAACATGCAAAAAATGTCAATTTCATTTTCAAAAAGAATATGCCAAGTTAACAATGTAAAATCCATTCAATAAATGTCATCCAAATAGATTGAGAAATGAACTACAGTCATAGATTATCTAATAAATTATCATTAAAATAATTTTTACTTTAAGCAACAATTTTTTTAATTTTGTTTTCTATAAATTTTACAATTTTTTTAAGCAAAACTAATACTTTTTTGTAACAATAGAAAGGTGTTGCTTTCATTTAAGAAAACTTTACTTTAAGATTAGTTTTTTTAAAAAAATACCTAATCTCTAATAATAATGTTAATCTCATCTAATAAATAATGTTATAATAAAAAATAAAAAAATAAAAAATAATTAAAAAAAATAATGAATTGATAATTTATTAATCTAAATGAAAAATTTGAATATTGAGCAAAATTTAAATTTAAAAATAATTTTTACCAGATTTATTTGTACCATTTATGTTAACACCTAAACAAAAAAAAAAAGTAATATATTCTAAATAAATATATTCAGTTTGCAACTAAACATAATCAATAGACTTTTATTTATAAGTTAAAAAAATAAATCTATGATAAATAAAATCTTTATCAATTTTTTGTTTATGCAACACAATGATTGCAACAAGTGACTAACGGAGCCGTCCAGTTTCGTAGACCTGAGAGATGTGATAATAAAAACAGTTAGAAGATGGTGTCATTAAATAAAAAATAAAAATCATAAGAAAATTCAAAATGAGTGATAAGACTTTTGTGAAGGTAAAGAACGAAGTAAATGCTCGGAGGGCAAGGAGAGAACAACTAACACTCTAATCACTCTGTATGTAGATCATATGTAATAAAGAACAAATATTTGATATACTGATTTTGAAGACTGTTGATGTCTACAGGTGTGATGGTGTAGTGCATTAATATGTACCGTTTGGTCGTCTAGTATGGTCTCGTTATGTCTTCGTTCACTTTCAAATCGAGTGAATAGAAAGCTAAACACACTCACTTCTTGCGCTTATGGGCTAGCACATCAGAGCCAGACAGAAGACCTACAGAATGGATTTCAATTGATCGAATGCACACATTAGTCACCGTAGGCCACAAGCCATCACTCTTAACCAAAAGAGCTACTGCCCCGTGCTGGTGTGGAATGATGTGCTATGAAGTGAGATTTCAGATCCGAGCACATAGTCAGCGAGCGCTGATCCGACGTGCATTGTGGAGCTTCTGACTGAACGTGTGTGTGAGTGTCAGCGTAGTCGTTAGGTTATTGAGCACGGTAACCACATCCAACGGGATAGCCTAATGTCCGTTTTGTCGTTGTGGTGTACATTAGAAAAAGTCGGGGCTCACCAGCCACAAAGAATAAATTTTTTTGCATATGCGACACAATGATCGCAAAAAGTGACCAACGGAGCCGTCCAGTTACGTAGACCTGGGAGATGTGAAAATAAAAACAGATTGAAGACGATGTCATTTAGGTAAAAAAACATAAATTAATGTAAAGATTATTTAGTAGGAGGAATAAAAGTTAGCAACTCAGGAAAAGAGGAATAAAAACTCACACTCTAGTCATCTTTTAGCAAATGATAAAACAATGATGTATGAGTAAACAAGTCAATAAAAATCCGCTGGTTTATAATGGTATTCATAACTAAAATAATCGCACCATACAAGTGTCTAATAAATGTGGTACTATATATGTTCTAAACTCTAGATAAAAAATTGAGAACTGATAATCACCTGTGTAACATAAAAATGTATGTCGTTAATGTAACAAATTCATAATAAAAAGCTCACAAAGCACAAAAATACATGGGTTTAAGAGGTAAAAAAATGTTGGTGCCATAATAACCAATTAGAATTGAGTAGTGGATAAATGGTGATCCCCCTCCTCAGGAATGCACTGCGGTCACCATCAAATAAAATCTATGATAAACAAAATCTTTGTCAAAATAGAATTTACAGTAGTTAAAAAGTTAACTAAAATAACTGATATAAGAAAATAAAAAAACATGCAATATTATAAAATATGTATATTTATTTGCAATTTTTGTACATTGGTACAAGATTTATCCAGCAGTAATTATAAATTGAATAATGGCTCTATAATTAATATAAAGAAACTTGAATATTTTATAATACATTTAATAGTACATTTTTAGTATTAGAACCCTGAAAAAACAAAGCACAAATAAAAACTTGATATTAAACAATACTTTTAAAGAATGTAAACACTTTTATACACACAATGTTCATTATTTAAAAAATATTTTCTTTATTAAATTATAATTTTAAGATATTTACAAGTATTGCATGTTGATTGGCAAAATTGATTCATAACAGGGTCTGTACAATTGAAGCATGCTTGACTAGGTACATTGTCTTTGCAAGCTAAAAAGTAAGTTTAATATTTAACAATAAACACATACATCGCCCAAAAAATGTTTTTCAAAAAGTTTTATTAAAACCTAAAGTATTAATAGTTTCTTATTTATAATAATTGATATTAATTTTTAAAATTGTTTATAAATAAAATAATTTAAGTAAAATGTAGTAATAAAGTTTTAAAATTAATAATGCAAAATATATAATGTTAGGTGAAATCAGAACTGGAAAAAACCCACTTTTTATTATTTCAGAAAGTGGGTATTTGGGTTTTTTGTATCATAATATTAATGACTGCATGACAATCATAATATTAATGACTGCATGACAATCATAATAATAATGACTGCATGATAATCATAATATTAATGACTGCATGACAATCATAATAAGGAGATTTCCAGAAAATTAAATGAATATCAAAACAAAATTGTTTAAGATATTAAAATCTTAGCGAAAAATGATAGTCATAATTGTTTTCAAAACTTAAATTGTAAAAACAATAAAACGCAGAAATTCTATTTTATTGGGTTTTTAAAAAAACAAACTCAAAATACCCAAAACCCAAAAAACCCACTTTGTCCAGCCCTGAGTAAAATATGTTTTTTTTATTTTTGTATCACAAATATGCTCAAATATATTTGATATAAAAATTTGTTAATAAATTTCAACTATTCTTTACTAATCAAAGCATATTTAATTTCATTAAAGTTTTTCTCCAAAATTAATAAATTACTGAATAAATTATATACATACATTGAATAGAATGCATACATTGAATACAAAAGGGCATTTCAATTATAGTACATATTTTTTTCTTTGTTTTTATAACTAGAAGCTGGGAATTGCAATATATAATCTTAAAAAATATATAACTTTTATCTTAGAAAAAAAAACTATAAAAAAATATCTTTATCATATTTTAGGCTACCTGAATGATTAAACATATTTTTGTTATTTTATATTAATTTTTTTATTTTTTAAATAGTTTTAAAAAGGTATAGCGATTTTCTAAATGCTATAGTCTAACTAGAAATAATTAATGTATGTTATTTCTTATTGAAAATACATTTTGATATGAATTGTAATGATATAATCTTTCATTTGAAATACACCCAAGTAAATTATTTTTATAAAATTACTACATGAACTAAACAAGTTTGCAACTTCTGTGCTCAAACATGTGTGAACGGCATTTGAGTAATTGCTGTGACTCATTTCTTAAAATCTCTAAAAACTGTATATCAATAAAGCTTATATTTTATGAGAGAATAAAGTTTTTCTGTTCATTTTTCTGTTCCATGTGTCAATTCAAGCTTATTTATATTCTTTGATAACACCACTAATGTAAACCACTCTTTGTTTACAAAATATTTATAGATTTGAAACAAGTGAGTAAATTAGAAACTGCCTAATATGTTTTTTTAAAAATAAAAAGTTTTCAACCAGTAATATATACAGTTTTGATTTTATATTGATCAAGATAGATCATGGTTGACCATATCTTACAAACAGGTTTAAAAAGATGAGGTAATTTTGTAAGACCAATGCACAAACATAAAGTAAATTCTTTTAAAATAAGTTTCCAGCTCCTATGACAAAACCTGTCCAGTGCCAACCTGACTTTATTAAGCCTTAATTTACTTCTATGGATTCATACCTCGTAAAAAATCTGTTTTTTTTTTAATTGAAAGTTATGATAATTTAATGTAATTTAAATAAGAAGAGCTTGAAGAAATTTAATTTTTACCTTTAAACAAAATATCAATTATTGTTTAAAAACATACCCTTTGAATATTTATTGAACAAAAAATTAGCAAATATATATAATAACAAACGCAAAGTACCTTCATATATTAAACCTCCAAACACACAGCTTAAAAAACAAACCAAAAAAATATTAAATGATTTCTAAAAAAAAAAATTGAAAAAAAATTTTTTTTCAAGTAAATACATTACATAACTAATGATGTAAAATTTTTTTTACAAAAAAAATAAAACTTTAAAATAAAAACAAACTTAAAAAGAGCAATTAATTAAAAATAAATAAATTATATAATATAATTATTAAATAAATAAATAAATATTAAATAAATAAATTGTTCTTATCTAAAATATAATTATTAAATAAATAAATAAATTTTTTTCAGTCTAAAATAAATTAAAAATAAACTTAAAAAGAGCATTACTTAAATAATATAATAAAAATGAAAAAAAAATAATAAATTTAAAATATTTAAGGAAAAAAGTTGTCAATCACATAACTTTTTATTTAAAATTACTAAATTACTAAGTAGACAAGTAAATCCAATGCGATAAGTTGAACAAATATTCTTATTTCAATTTTAAAAATATGAGTTAATAAGCAAACAAATAATGAAAAATAGAAAACTTTGTTACATTAGATGCACTCTTGTTTTATATAAGCAAACACAAAATTTTAAATCAGTCATGCAAAAAAAAATTCAAATGTACAGAGACTCGAAATTCAAATGTATAGAAACTCAAAATTCAAATGTGCATTTTATTAGGTAATAGAACATAAGAATTAAAATTTTTTAATGTTGTGTGTTTGTTGCTTTGATGTTAAAATGTAGCAAAATGTCAAAATAAAAGATAACAACTTACAAAAGATATAAACTTTATCAATAAAATCTAAGATATTAAATTCACATTTCCCTCAGAATTTCATTCTTACAAATTTTATTTTAATTGAGAGCATCATCCACATTCAGTTAAAAATCACCTTAAAATTGATTTTGGATGGTGACGCATTTTAAGTATTAACACCTTTCAGCTATAAATCAGGAAATTTTTTGAACCATCAAAAGTGATCAAAAATCCAGTCATCATCCATTTCTTTCCTTAATATATACTATTATTAGAGCAGTTTTCCATGTGTTGCCTATTTAATGTATTCTAAAATTTGTTGCTCTTTGAAACATAAGACTAGTTGATACAGATTGTCAACTGGTTATCAATGTTCAGTGGTACTGAATCCAATTATAAGATCCATGCATTATTAGTCAAACCTCTGACAATGTACTTGTAAGTTTTCCAACAAAATACAATAAAGAGACAGTTAATCAACATTAAGCCTCTGATCAACATTAATTCTCTGTGCTGGTTGGATTTTCAATGGAAAACTTTGTTTTTTTAAACCATCTAGAAATTTGACTTTGTGTTACATCAAACAAATGTTTGAATGTTTGAATGTATGTTTTCTTGGACTAGTTTTTTTTAGCAAAAATACCCTTAGTATAAAATAAAAATTATTTTAAAAAATTAGGTTTTAATAACGTCTAATAACATAATAAATACATTTTTAGCAATTTAAGTCATGGGCGCAATCAAAAAAATTTTCTAGAAATGGGAAAAACTATAAGTTATTGAAAAATGATTTTTTTAATAAAATTGTTCATACTTTTTTAAACCAATTTCATATTGCAAAGAAACATAAATTAAAATACATTTAAAATTTTGTATCAATTCTTTGCCAATACTCATAAATTCAGCAAATTTATTAACATCTTGAAATGCACTTCTTGATGTATTTCTATTATTTGTATTGCCAAAACCTTCTACTTTTAGTTTATCCACATGTAAATAAAGTAATTTTTGAAAACAATCCCAAATCTCTTTTTTTCTTTTAAAAAAACTTCCTTATCATGAGGTCCTTTAATTTGCCATTTGCATAATTCAAGTCTGTAAAATAAGTGGAGAATACATTCAAAAAAATATGATCTAGGCATGCAATGGATGCCTAAAATTCTGATCCAGGCATTAATGGATGCCTAATGATTTTTAAAAAATCTTGAGGCGTTTGCATCAGTTTTAGCGGTCTCGAAAAACACACAGATTGTTCCATAGTATAATATTATTTTCTAAATTTTATCAAAGAGATATTATTGTTGTAAGAAATAAATTCTTATCTATGTGAACACCAGTCAAATTTTTGCTTATACACTGAATATGCAGAAATTCCATTAAACCCATAACTTGGAATTATTTCTGCATTTATTTCATTAATTGATTTGAATTTAAATACTGCAAAATCACATCTTCTTGCAACATTACAATGCATCTAGCTATATGTTCAAATAAGTTTCTTAATGGAACTTCCGCAAGAACATTTGAACATGTTAAACCATCTGGTCTGCAGGTAGTTTTACATTTCCAAAATTCTTTATAACTACAGTTCTTTAAAAAAGTTCCATTTCAAATAGTTCAATACTGGTGTAGACTTAAATTAGAATCCAAAATTAACTCAAGGACGCCTTCGGCAGTATATTTTTATTTTTCTATTTTAGGTATAAATAGAGTTTTTCTGATTTTTGTGGCTGAGTTGGCCTTCTATCTAATTCCTGACTAACTATCGTTAAATTTGTTGACATGCAGCCATACTTGCAGCTTGCATTATTAAGTTGGTTTCATGGTGCCTTTCATGAGATAATTCTTACAATTGCACTCTTTTTGATCTTTCTGATTTTTCATCAATCTACAGATATAGAAAGTTTAAGTGGTCAAAAGGATATATGATTTCTTTTTTCAGCCATTCGCAATTTTTTTTTTTTAAATAATTTTTATTTCTTTTACCTTGCGCCTATTTTTTTTTGAAATGTAATGCACAAAATGTAAATTTGGTGTTTCACTTTACTTATTTGTATATTTTTTTTAAACAACATTGTTTATAAGATTACACAGATTTATAAACTTTTACTTTTAACTTGATTTTCTAAGAAAATATTAAATAAATTGTGGATTATAAACCGGTTCATATTTGGAAATTCATAATGTTGAGGGTAACAGGTAGTAACAGTTAAAATTTGCAGGGAATTGTTTCTCTAATAGTATCTGAGTATAACAACACAAAGATCAAAACTCAATCGCGCTCTCAATTTTTTAAGTCTAATTAAAATTTGATAATTTTTTTGCAAAAAAATTCTTCTTATTTAAAAATTTTATTTTTCTGAGAGTAATTAATTTTCTTGATTGAAATATGTATAATTTATAAGTACTTACCTACATAAAAATAATGGACTTTACACAACACAAAAATATTAATTCATGTGGGACTGAGATCCTGAAAATGAAATAAAAATCTAAGAAAATAAAGAAAGAAAAAGCAACATACTGTATGTCTGTATGCTGCTTTTTCTTTATTTATTTATCTATTGACATTTTCATTTTATTACTGTGACTCACTGTCATTATAATAATGTCTCAACAATATGCTTATAAAATGCTGATGGTTTAAAAAACAAACTGTTTTTAAAAAAGCATGTACCTTTAACAAGTACTGTGGTATTGTTAAATGCAGAATAAATCTATAATCATCTAAAAACACGTGCTTTTGTTGTTGTTGTTTTAAGTTATAAAAGCGCGAAACGCGATGGTTTTTTTCAAGAGTTATTCTTTTTTTTTTTTTTAATTTGTTATTTAGGTGCCCCAAAACACAGAACACACCGGAAGTGGATTTAACCAGAAAGTTAACGCCTCCTTCCTTACCGTGACGCTTCCTCGAATAAATCAATTTCGATAATAGTGTTAAATATTTGTCATAAATTATGTACAGTGCAGAGTCACAATGCGTGAATGTGTCAATTCTAATCACTTTAACATTTACAACTCAACTTAGTTTCACTGTAAAAACCAATTTTTTATGAGTCTGGTATAATAAAAACGTCCTTAACAAATTGCATAAACCCGTGCTTAAACTGGACGAGGCGCAGTGGTTAGAGCGCTTGCTTAAAAAGCAGGAGATCCAGGTTCGAAACGAACTCTGGAATATTTTCGCGTCACGGTAAGGAAGGAGGTGTGAACTTCCTAGTTAAATGCACTTCCGCGGTACTCTGTGACTTCTTGGGGCACCTAAATAACAAAATTAAAAAAATAAACCAAAGTTCCGGCAACGAAAAAGGTTGCTGACCTACTTTTTGAGACGGAAGAGACAAAAATTACAATTTTTCAGTATTTAAAGAGCTTCCAACATCTTTATTTTAATATTATATTAATATTTGTGTGTGGAGCTAAAGTGTCATCGAAAGAACTACACGAGCCACAGGTTGCCGACCATTTGTATATAACAATTGGGCATAAATCTTTTTTGTTTGCACAGCAGACTAACCAACAACAACTTTGAGTGTTACGAGTAAACATCTAGTGTATGCTTATTTAGTTCAATATGTGTCGGATTTATTTGAGGTTAAGAATTGGATGGGGAAATGGCCAAAGTATGTGAGATTTTATTGAGTATATTTCCTGTTTGGTTCTTAAAATATGACCACAAGCTACATGGTCACATTTTAAGTATCATATAGAAAAAAATTATACTTATAAAACAAATCATGTGACATTAAACCAATTGTACGTTCTTGGTTTCGGTAACACTAAAGCGACAAATATTGAAACAAAATTTACCTTAAATTTTCTTTATGCTCAGATTTAATTTAAAATTTTCTGAACATTGCTAACAAATTATTGAAGACAATCTTTTTGTTTTTATTTTTATTATTTAATAAGATTAAATAATAATAATAAAAACAAAAATAAGATATCAAAATATTAATTTACCAAGTTTTGTTGCTATTTAGTCGATACAAAAAGTAATTTATCATTTAATAATATTCCCGCCTTCCTTTTATTTTTTCCCATCATTTAATAATATTACCTCTAGTTTATTTTTTCTAATCTCTTCTCTGAGTATTATATTAAATTTAAACTCATTTTAAATTAGTATTAAAATTTATGGGGTTTAAGAACTTCTAGTAAAAAACTTAAAATAGTTACCTGCTTCATACTGAATACAATCTACATACAACCTGATTACAAAAAAATCTTTCGACGACTTTCAATCGTATTTTTTTTTTCCGTTTTTTAATTTTTAATTTACTTTAGTTTTTAAGAAAAAACTAAAAGATTTATGTATTTTTTAAACGAATTTTCAATGCATATTATATCGAAAATCTTTTTATACAATTTGTTACATGTATTAATATTTTAGTTTTAACTCAAGTTAATTTTTTTTTTTTTTGTATTGATGAGAAACCACTTAATCGAATGTCACGTATTTTTTCTATTGATCAAAAAAATTTCTCTAAACTATACAATCTCTTAAATCATACAAATCTCTTTAAAATATAAGGAAAAAATATTATTTACAAAAGTAATTTGCGACTAGCGTAAAATATCGTAAGAATAATATCTTCTCATCTTAATGAATAAAAAAGAACAAAAACAAAAAAAAAACTATTATATACAATTATAATATATACTATAAGTATAGTATATTGTATATTGTAATAGACGACTTGCATAAAATGAGTACGCACGAAACCACTATTTTTGCCATTCCTCCCCATCCATCTTTTGTACAAAGCAGTTTTTTTTTAAAAAAACCCTTTCTGTCTATACATATCTACATAAAAAAACATATCTACATAAAAAAACATATCTACATAAAAAAACATATCTACATAAAAAAAACATATGTACATAGAAAATCAAGAGCGTCTCGAAAATTTCAAAACGTTTAAAAATCAAACTTTTTTTGTTTGAAAATCGTCTTAGGTGTTTCATAGGACGGAAGAGGACGTTTATTTTTTAAATTACATTAAAAGAGTAAAAAGTTTAGTACAGAAATTAATCCAGTGTTTAGGGTGGTAGTCTTCTGATAAAGTGATAGAGGATGGAACTTATACCATATAAACCGGCCGTTTTTTGGACAGGGCAATCATTCTCCTGCCTCAAAACTGTTACGCAAGTGGTGTGGTAAAATTTTCAAGTATGTCTTAGAACTGTTAAATAAAATAAAATTGAGGATAAAGAAAAAAATAATTTTAAAATCATAGACGGCCTGAAAGATGACCTAAGTAAATCAAAGCAAAATGTAAATTCAGCTAATATTGGCAATAAATGGGTACAAATAGTCACAAAAGGTATAAAAAAACGGTAAAAAACCACCTAAACATCTAGTGGTTGCTAACACAACCATAAATGAGCTGCACGATAGAGAAAAGAGAAAAAGAAATTTAATTGTTTTTGGAATTCCAGAATCAACTCAAACAAATTTTTTAATTAAGAGAAATGCAGTTTTTGATTTTATTGGTAAAGTAGATATTAAACCAGTTTAAACCAGAAAACTTAGATTAAAATACAAAACAAAGCCAGGTCCAAGAAATCTAAATTTTAGAAATCCAGTTTTTTTAGCAGCAAAAATATTAAGAAATAGCATCGATCATAAACAGATTTACATAAGTCCAGATCTAACTGAAGCCGAAAGACAACTTGATCTTCAGCTAAGACAAGAAAGAAACAGAGTTTATGCAAATTATGAAATAAACTCTCCATTTCGATATGGCATCCGTGGTAATCAATTGCAAAAGTTCAAGAAAAATCAAATATGTACTTAAAGCACCTTTATTACCTGGAAGCATAACAAAATTCAATTGTATTTATTTGAAAGCTACCTCACTGGAAAATAAATTAGATGAATTAAAGGTTTTAACTAGTTTGTATTGTCCAAAAATTGTTGGAGTAAACGAAACATGGTTCAAAAATAACTCAATTGTAAATATTCCTGGGTACAACATATACAGATATGATAGAACTGGCAATCGAAGAGGCGGTGGTGTATGCTTATTTATAGAAAATTCAATAGATTCGTATGAGCTGGTTGACATTAATTTTAGTATTAGCAAAATCAAACAAATTTGGGCCGTAATTTATTTTTGCCATGAAAAATACCTAGTTGGTTGTCTATACAGACCAATTTATTTTGTTGATATGGTAGATTTTAACAATATTTTTAAGATCGCAAGAAGATATGTTGATGTTAATGCCTTTAAAGATGTCCTAATTATGGGTGATTTCAATTTCCCAACTATTTAATGGTCAAACGGTAGTATAGCATCAATTTCAAAATTGCATAGAGCATATGTTCTATTAAACTTTAAGTGATACTTCCTTTTATCAACATTTGAAATATCAATTTTTGAATGGCTTATGGCTCAACCTCAAATGTTTTAGATTTAATATTCACAACAGAATCTGGTAATGTATATACTGTCGACCCAAGTTTTGCGCTTAATGACATAAACAAAGGTCATCAAATTATTTACTTTAAATTCGACTTAAAAAATAATGTTAGCAGATTAGCTTGTATTAACTTTAAGTTTTTGTATATCAAAGCTAAACTTGATAAAATTTCTTATATGTCCAATATTTGTTGAAGTTGTACTAAAACAAGACAGTGACTTGTACAACGAATCAATTTACTATACCACTGAAGCATGCAATTTGTTTGTACCAACCATAGATATTTCAATAATCAAAAGTTAAACAACTCCTTAGATTAATAACGAGATCAAGCAATTAATAATAAGAAAAAAAAATTTTAGGTACATAAATTGTGCTCACAGATGAAATGATGTTAAACTGACCAAAGAATATAAGTAGGTATGCAAATTAGTTAAAATAGAAATATACAATGATCGACTTTTATTTGAAATGAATGTAGTATTAACCTCTAAACTTAATCCTAAACTGTAATGTTTCTCAGAAGAGACTCTTTGTTAAATTGAATGCATATGGTATTAATGGCTAATTCTAAAATGGAGGAATCTTCTCTGAATAATAGAAGACAAAGGATAGTTCTTGGTGAAGTTGTTTCTAAGTGGGTTGAAATTTTTTCTGGCGTGCCAAAGGCTCTGTTATTGGACCCTTAATGTTTATTACATATATTAATAATCTGCCAAGTAAATTAATGAATAAATGCAAATTGTTCGTGATGATACTAAGACTTTGTTCAAGGTAATTTTAGATAAGTGTACCTCAAGTCTACATAGGGATTTAAATATATCGTTTAAATGGACAGAAAACTGGCTTTTAATGTTTAATATTGATAAATGTATAGTAATACATTATGAAGTGAACAACTAAAAGAATCCTCTATATATTAATGGCATAAAATTACTAGAATTAAACAGTGTAAAAGATCTACATGTAATATTTTCTAAAAATCTCAAGTGGAAGGATCAGGTTATTTCTGTAACAATCAATGCAAATAGAATGTTAGATCGAATTAAAAAATCGTTTGCAAGATCAGACTGTCATTTACTTAAATCACTGTATGTAACCTTTATTCGTCCTTTTCTAGAGTTCTCAGTACTCAGTACCAGTATGGTCCCCGTATCAAAAAGGTTCAATAACCAGGCGAACATGTCCTATTAGGGCTCATATGTGTTTGCCCAAGTGAGCCCTATGTGGGCTTTATATATGGAAATTTTGGGCTTTATAAATAAGATGAAATTTAAACCCAAAATGGGTTTAAATTTCATCTTATTTTTTAAATTTGAATGCCATCCGATCGCGCGCACGATGGTATAAGGTACTCTGCTAGGCAATTAGCTGGAAGAGTATAAATTACAAAACCGAACTACTTTATGAAAACCCTTTTACGTTTCTCAAATGTAATTACGTCTCAAAGTTTTTCTCAAATTTTAAACTAGATTCAAATTAACTCTTTTTCGAAAAATCTTCTTTTTATTTAAAGTCAAATCATTTTGAAGACTCCGTAATAGTGCTATCAATGTCATATATTAGTGGTAGTTAAAGAGTTTTATATTGTATTTGAAATTTTTTTTTTCTTTTATGTATAAAAAGTTTTTGAAAGTGTATACACTATTTGAGTTTTTATAAACCCACAAGCAAAAATGTATATAAAATGACACGTGTTTAAGAGGAGTTATATACATAGTCTTAATTAAACTTATTTAACCCTTTCGTGACGCGTGACCGTATGGCGCACTATGCGTTGCTCTTATACAAAATGAGGAAATAGGCATATAAATAAAGAAGGACTTGAAATATTTAATTTATTTTTTCACAAGACATCAAATTTTTATTTATATTTCTATATTTAAAAGAATCATATTCGGTTTTCATAAAAAAACCGAATATGATAAATACAATAAAAAAATTTATTGTATTTGTTCGGTTAGTCCGGACTAATTCTAGATTTGTCCGGAAAACTACACAAGTCCGGATGATTTTATTCAAAAAAAAGTAGGCGCCTATATTTTATAGAATTTTACAAACTATGTATATGAACACTATTTCAAAATAAACAATATCATTGAATATAATAAACAACTCTGCTATCATATGATACTTGACTCTTTGCATTCTTTCACAGTTTCTCAACGTTCTATTCTAATAGATGTTTTTAATAACTTGTGGCTATGAAAATAGCCGTTTTTTAAAAATTCAACGCAGAACAGCTCACCAGTATGATTCTTCATGGTCTTACTTCCTAAAATAGTTAATTGCTTGATAAAATTGATTAAATTATTTCTTAAATTTATTTTAAAAAACATAAAAAAACAACAACAAAAAAAACGCAACTTTGAATTGTTAATTAACCAAAATTATGAGATTGTCTAACCAAAAAAAAAATCAATCAAAACTATTAACAATATTAATAATAAAACTATTTTACCTTTATTTTAAGCAGTTATCAGAAGAACTGTCACTTTGCTTTCTTAAACTATTTTGTTTTCACTCTTTTTTTATCCATTTTGTTTTTTTTTTTTGCAAAAGAGGTACATATCAGATGTCATAAACAAATAATTAGCCCTAGTGTTTTCTGCAAAAGAGGATAAACGAGCATGACCAATTCGAGCAGTTTTATTTTCCTCATTTCTGGGTTCAATAGCACTCTCAGACAAAGAACCTATCGGATACTTAAAATACCTTATAAAAGAAGTACCATGAACTATCACTCTATGCACAGATTGTGACATAGGTATGGTTTTTAAAAATTTTTCATTAGTTATGAGTGCAAATAGATGTTCAGATTTCTGTTTGAA